ATATATATATATATATGAAAACTATCGAAAATAAATAAACCGCATAGATAATCATAGAAGTAGTGGCATACCATCGTCGGTGGGCACAGTGTTTATGACGCAAGAGATCGATGTGCGCGAAGATAATTATTTTTATAAAAAGCAATTCGAAAAGTAGTTCCAACGCATAACGGAGAACTCCAAAGTATGTCAGAAGAAGTATTTGCTGTCCCGCGCACCAGGGAAACAAATTGCAAAACCATAAAAAAGCACTTCACATTTAGCCGAAGGTTGAAAAATATAGCACCTGAACGAATCCTGTATTTTTGTTTTGGCCTGTGCATTAGTTAGCTCATACAAATTGATAAGGAAGTAGATGAAGAATATTTGACCAGTCACCGTTAGAGCTTTGTCTGTATGCTTAAGTATATTTCGCTCAGCAACAGGTACTAACACCTCGCATGACCTTTAACTGTATTAGCAATAAAAAAGCAAAATTGGTGTTTCAGTTGATGAAACATCAATCTATATGTTAGCATAAAAGTTTGACCGCAAAGTATTACATTATATTTTTAATTTCAATTTAAAACTGCGTTTACGCAACGATGGTTCTGTATACCATCAACATTTTTCTCTTTTTTGGAACTTCTACGTCCGATATTGTGATTAGGGTTAGTAGGATAAAATGTCAAATAAGGTCTATTTTGACATTTAATTAGGTGCGGAATTAGAGTAAGCTGCGGCTTGATATTCTACTTACCAACAGTGGTCGTTGTGTCATAGGTTTCAGTCGTGGTGCTCACTGACATTGAAGAAAATATATAAAACATAATATTGGGTGTAAAAACTGTTTTTTATAAAAGTATAATCAACTAAATAACTAGGTGAAGGCCATGCTGTAGCGCATGAGACGTCGTGGGAAATGTAAGCAAACGCATTTGACCGTAAATTTTAATAGTAGTTTTTCATTGCGATAAAGTCTAAATCATGCGCTGCACGGATAAAATATAGCATTAACAGAACGCGCAATATTCGACAGTTCTTCAAAAAACGAATTCATCAGACTAGCATCCTAAAAAGGCGAAACTGCGCCAAAAGTACAGCAGATACAAAGATTTTATCGCAAAATAATTCACAAATGTTAAAACAGCACGGAAGATACAAAAATGCAAGAGAAAAAAAGATCTTCAAATTCGAGACAGAATTAATCCCGTTTGCCTTGTTAAGCATGCTTGTCACAAGAAGTGTATTGCGGTGAACCTTAAAAAGGCAGTGTAGTTTAAACAGCATAAAATATTTTAGAATGTATCGAGTCAAATAGGGGGTCACTTAATGCATGGCCTAAATGCAAGCGGAACTTACGCTCGCAAACCTCCTTGCCGACATCCTCCAGCTTCACCTTTAATGCCCCTGAAGAATGAAAATGCGTCATGCACGTGTTAATATAGATTAGTTTCGTTTTATTTCTTCCATATAATATAAATGTCTACATACATTCTTCGCTGCTAAAGTCACAGTCATCGTAAACCGTTTCTTCTTCTTCTTTTTTTTTTTCTTCTTCTTCTTCTTCTAAAATAGAGATCATACAACATACATCAGACCAAATACTGCAGCCAAATAAATGCGTGGTTGCTTGTGGTTATTTGCAACCTATGAGGACATGGTCCTCAATTAGTTTGCTTCATTTAGTGCTTACCAGTAGTGGATGCGCTTTCAGTTGTAGCTTCATTCGTGGCGTTAACTGACATTCAAAAACCAAAAATTATCGCACAATATTACTATAAATTTCACTTATAAGCATTAAGGCAATGCGCTAGGAAGCATGCATGTTTGTACTGTTATGGTCCTATTATATATGCTCTTGTACTTGCTTACTGTGTTGAACCACGCAAAGTGTTGTACAACTATGACCCATTACTACTGACGTACAACAAGCACACGGTAAAATTAAATCTCATTTATTTTAAATATTAATTCTCACGCGCTCGTAAATTTTGAGCGAATACGTTCACTCACACAGTTGTGTTAGGAAAGTAGCATAATAATCAAATCGAATTCAACGCTGTCATTGAAAAAAGGGTCTGCCATTCAGATATAAATGCGTTTTATTGCACGTAAACTTATGCAGGACTGCAGCAGTTCTACAGGCCATCACCTGCTAACGCGAGGCGCCACAGACTATGCCTTGTATTTGCAATCGTAGCAGCCCAGTCGCGAGACCCAGCGCAATGGCCCACGTCCGTATGCGAGGCGTAACCTTTGCCCTCGTGCGACTCTGGTGCACACACAAACTAGAGACTAGTCAGGCAAAATTTTGTCATGCACCTGACTCACACAGAGCCCGCTGTGGGGCTTTGTGACAATTCCCGAACTTATGGACACTCCGGATTCGGCCCTGTCAGGGGAGCAGACAGCATCCTTGGTCGGTGTGACGAACTCATGCGCTTACTCGTTCCTCACCGTCGAACGAAATGCCAGACGAAATAGCACTTTACTCCTTACTTTTCTGTAAGGAATATATTATTAGGCACTTCCAGCAAACATTATGGAACATTTACGATACGTTTTTCTGCCTGATAAGGCGTCATCAGGCGCAGTTACCCAACTCAAATGCAGCCGCGGAAATTGCCGCCAAACTCGAGTTTCCAACTCGGGTCCCTCCGGTCAGAGACAAATCCCTAACCATTCAGTCCGCTGTCTTTTCGTTTTTACTCGAGGGTATGCAGTAGTAGGTAATTGTACATCACTTTGTTTCTGCATGGCTCCATCCTGGTTGATTCTTTTTCGCGTTTGGCACATCCAATCATATGCTGTAAGGCGAATAGTAATGTTACTGACCAAGTTTCAGTAACGTTTTTATTTTATATATTAGTCTAAGGCGTTTGCATCTGACAGGACAGACGTGAGTTCGAAAATCGAGTGTGGCAGACAACACTTGAGTTGAGTATCGCCAGCTAAGGACGGCACATAAGGCAGAAATAGCTATCCTGGCGTCTCTCTGTTTTTGTCAGTAATACCTAAAAACGATACTTTGTTCTTAACAACCCGGCTTTCCCAAGACATTGTCTCCTCCCAAGGAAAGGGTCCTGGAATTTTGCAGACGTTAAGGTTACTTCAGTAGGCATAAGATCACACGATATATCCGTCTTAATGGCTCTGCAGTCGTAGGTGATCTAAAGCACCCGAATGCTTGACTTGGCAACTAGCGCACACTCTGCTTATCATGTTAACTTCAAAAGCAACATCCCCTTACCTTTTTGGTACTCATGAGCAACATGACAGTTCGTATAACATAAATCTTCCGCGGACACTTTAAAGAAGGTCACAATTATTACTGAAATCAAATATTTCAGAAATGTAAGACAAAGAAGTGCCAACTACAACCAGATAAGAAATAAGATATTCGAATTCGAGACTGAAGCAACCCCTGACTATCGTACTTAGATAAGCTTTGTTTTTCAGAAGAAGTGTATTGCGATGAACATTTTAAAAGCAGTGTAGTTTAAAAAGCAAAAAATAAATTAGTAGAGATCACGTCCACCAGGGGGTCATTAAATGGACGGCCTAATTGCATGCGAAACTTACGTTCGCAAACCTGTTTGCCGACATCCTCCAGCTTCACCTTTAATGCCCCTGAAGAATGAAAAATACGTCATGCACGTGTTAATATAGATTAGTTTCGTTTTATTTCTTCCATATCATATAAATGTCCACGTACATTCTTGGCTGCTAAGGTCGAAGTCGTCGTACACATCTTCTTCTTCTTCTTCTAAAATAGAGACCATACATCATACATCAGACCAAATACTGCAGCCAAATAAATGCGTGGTTGCTTGTGGTTATTTGCAACCTATGAGGACATGGTCCTCAATTAGTTTGCTTCATTTAGTGCTTACCAGTAGTGGATGCGCTTTCAGTTGTAGCTTCATTCGTGGCGTTAACTGACATTCAAAAACCAAAAATTATCGCACAATATTACTATAAATTTCACTTATAAGCATTAAGGCAATGCGCTAGGAAGCATGCATGTTTGTACTGTTATGGTCCTATTATATATGCTCTTGTACTTGCTTACTGTGTTGAACCACGCAAAATGTTGCGCAAGGCAGACAAACTGTCTTCGTTTTCCCCGTGATTAAAATCCGAATGGTGCTGTAAGGGCGTTTGACCCATTAAAACCGACTCACAATAAATAAAAGCTTCATATTTATTGCACTTCTACTAAATAATAATCCTCACGCGCTCATGCATATTGATCGAAGACGTTACCTGACAAAGTTATGTTAGGAGACTCGCGTGAGTAGCTGAAATGCTACGCTACTTTTGAGAAATATGCATTTTATTTCACGTAATCAGCAAAAGCCATGGGTGAAGTCGTAGATAAGAAACTGTATCTGCCATAAACCCATTAACTGAAAATTTAGCTTCACAAAAGTCTTTGTGTAATTTTGGCGGGGTTGTTATAAAGCAATTTAAGTCCGTATCACAAGTCCAAAATATATAAAGTATAAGTTGGCATTTCCATTGAAGAATTGCTAATAAGAATGGTAAACTGTAAAAGTGGGCATGGACCTAAGAATCCTGAGGGAACCAAATGGAGGGGCTAGGCGGTAGTTCACACAAATTTGCAACTGCAGATCATACGTAAACTCAACTTTGGAGGCAACGACAGACCTACGCATTTTGAAGGTCCAACTGACGCATAGTAATACATGAGTTCCATCCAAGCGCACACCCTAGTACATGCCTTTCGGCTTATGTAAGATTATGTAATTATTTTCCAGGGAATTATAAAAAGCATGACGCTCAAGCACTGTTTATTATTCACTTGGCGAATTGGGTTTTCTAGTCTGTGAATCGTTGTGGGACGTATTAGTAGACACTTTCACTTTCAAAATACTACATGAGAGTTGAATAAGTAGCAGTTGGGCAATGCAGTTACAATTTATTATATTGACAGCTTCAAATAGAACGTGCAGGTTCAATGTATTTTTATTGACGCACGTTAAGTTAAGTGACCTACCGTTGCAAACTCGGTTGAAGACATCCTCCAGTTTGACCTTCAATGACCCTGAAGAATGAGAACAGTCAACCACGTGTTAATTTAACAAATTTTCGTTTTTCATGTTCGAATTTTCAGGAATACGCACGTACATTTTGGGCTGTTTAAATCCACATCGTCGTACACCTGTTCCTCTTCCGCTGAAACACCGATAATAAATAAAGAAGACAAGATCCTGCGTTTTGCGAAACCCGTGTTTGCGCAACGCAAAAAGAGAATGGATTATATTAAACTACAAAGGAATTTTCACCGATAAATCCGCATCATGTTATGCTTTCCAACAGTCGAGGTATTATCTGGTATAAAAACCAATATATTTCGCATAATATTAGAAGTTGGAACTGCTTCATTTTTTTAAATACAACCTGCTTCAGGGGTTTTTATAAATAAATAGGAAACATGAATATTAGAGCACAAGACACGTTGTGGGATATTCTAACAAACACTAGTTGCACGAAAGTTTAATATTAATTTCCCTTCTAATAGTTAGCAAGAGTTCATTATTAAAAGAACGCACATTTGGTTGACAGTTGAGCTTGTGGGGAATAGATCAGATCAGCGTTTCAGATAGATTTTAACTATAGATATATATAAATATAACTGAAGGTACGAGGTCCAGATAAATTATTCCGTTTAACATCCCCAAAAAAGATGAAGATAATAAGGCGAACTTCAAGGACCACAGTGTGTTTGTGCTGGCGTTTCAAAATAGGCTTGTTTATGTTATCACAGTGGTGAATTAGTCGATACATCTTAGAATGTTTTTTTGTCTTTTCGCTTGACTCATATTATATGCGTGGCTTACGCGCCCACCCCCGTCGTTTTTTTTTGTTCATGAATTAGCTTCTGCTCCTTATTTTTTGCTAATTGAAGCAAAAATGCGTGTCACCGGACATAAATAAAAAGAAAAGGCGATCACGCGTACAGGATAATGCACCAAAACCTAGGCGGAACTCGTGTCTGGGCATTTAGAGAGTATTTTTGAGGAAGCACATTATAACATCATTGTCATATAGAATACACAAGAAGGAGAATGAACAGTGATGCAGGCGGATAGGGGGGTGAGTTTACAGCATTTAGTTGTGGCCTACCAGCACAAATAAAATTATATTTCCCCAATAACTTATTCAACCTCAACTTATATTGATTGGGTTGCCGATATTTCAACATATATATATATATGTACATATGTTAATGTGCCTCCACCCAAATAGTAGAGGAACAATTAACTTCCCTATTTCCCGGGAGCTGGCAACGGAAACCCTTCAGACCGTCAGATGCCGACCAGGTGATATGATGAAGT